CTCTCTCAGCCTCGAATATAACCCCTCGATTCCCCTTACTGACTAAACATCTCAGCCTCGAGCGACCCAGCCCCAACAGCCCTCTGCGGTAAAGACTTCCACAGACCCACTCCCCTCGGTGGGAAGAAATTCCTCCCCATCTCTGTCTTCAATGAGCGACCCCCCCCTTACTCTGAGATGATGCCCCCTCTGGTCCTAGACTCTCCCACACAAGGTGGGGAAACAATCCCTCCACATCTCCCCTGTCAGCAAACCCCCCAACCCCGGCTTTTCTGTTTCAATAAGGTTGCCCCCTCATTCTCCTAAACTCCACCCGACCTACTCAACCTCTCCCTCATAAGAGCGTCAATACACCCTCCCCCACCCCATTTCTGCCCCCAGGAATTGGCCCATAGGGAGGGGGTGTAGGGGGCTGGAGGAGGTGACAGAGTTAGTGAGGGGGGTATAGGGGGCTGGAGGGGGTGACAGAGATAGGGAGGGGGTGTAGGGGGCTGGAGGAGGTGACAGAGATAGGGAGGGTGTGTAGGGGTCTGGAGTGGGTGACAGAGATAGGGAGGAGATGTGAGGGGCTGGAGGAGGTGACAGAAATTGGAGTGAGTTCTGTTGTGAACGCCCTTATGTTGCTTGAGGGTGCCTGGGGGTCCCCATTGAGCAGAAACTTGAACTGGGACCCAGCCCCATATCAATACAGAGGCTACAAGGGGCAGGTCAGAGGCTGGGAATCCTGCAGCGAGTAACTCCCCTCCTGACTCTGCCCCGTCTCCCCCCTCAAAGCCTGTCCCACCATCGACACGGCACAAGGCAGGAGGGTGAGGGAACACTCCCCACTTGCCCTGGATGGGGGCAACTCCGACAACACTCGAAGCTCGACACCGTCCAGGGCAAAGCGGCACCCCCACGCCCGCTCGATGGACACGGCAACCCTCCCTCCCTCACTCCACCACCGACGCACAGCGGCATTAGCTGGGCTCATTAGGAATGCTCAGCTGAGCTCCAACACCGACGCACACCAGCAGCAGTGTGTACCGTCTACAAGACACACCGCAGCGACTCACCTGGGCTCCTCCCACAGCACCATCCGAACCCGCCACCTCTACCCCCCTGGAAAGGACAAGGGGCAGCAGATACGGGGGGGGGGGGGTGGGGTTTTTACCACCAGCCCCTGCAAGTTCCCCTCCGTTCTCCACCACCCCCCCACCCCCAACACCGACTGGTAACAACATGTGCTGTTCCTTTGGTGTTGCCGGGGTCAGAGCCTAGAATTCTCTCCCTGGGGGCACTGTGCGGGGAGTCTCGGGGGAGGGGGAACTACAGCACCTTCTCCAGGGGGGCAATTAGGGACGGAGTGATAAATGAAGACGAGCAGAAAGACGAGGGGAGACAGAGGAGGGAGAGACAGAGCGAGAGAGAGAGACAGAGACAGAGGGAGAGAGACGAGGGGAGACGGAGGGAGAGAGACAGAGGGAAAAAGACAGAGAGAGATGGAGGGAGAGAGAGAGACGAGGGGAAATGGAGGGAGAGAGAGAGACAGACGGAGGGAGAGAGAGAGAGACGGGGAGAGAGAGAGAGAGAGACAGAGGGAGAGAGACGAGGGGAGATGGAGGGAGGGAGAAACAGAGGGAGAAAGATGGAGCGAGAGAGAGACAGAGACGGTGGGAGAGAGAGACAGATGCAGAGCGAGAGAGACGGAGGGAGGGAGAGACAGAGGGAGAGAGGTGGAGCGAGAGAGAGAAGAGGGGAGATGGATAGGGAGAGACAGGAGGAGATGGCGGAGATGGAGGGAGAGAGGCAGAGCAAGAGAGAGAGAGATGAAGGGAGACGGAGGGACAGAAAGACGATAGGAGAAGGCTAACACAGCTCATTGCACTGTGACAGACACACACCCCTGTCTCATTCTCTCCGAACCAAGTCATTTTCTCGTGCCTACTTTTGCATTTCCTTTTTCAAACACATGCTCTTTCAAACACATCCTCTCTCTGTCTGACTTTCTCATCCCCAACTGTCATTCTGCCCCACGCACTGTCTCTCTACCCCTTCCCCTTTCTGCCTCTCTCTCCGTTTTTCCTGTCTCTCTCCCATCTCTTTGTCACCTTTTCTGTTTGTGTGTGTCTCTCTCTCTCTGTCTCACGCTCTGTTTGTCCATCTCTCTCTCCCCCACTCCGTCTGTATCTCTCTCACTCTCTGCCTCTCTGTCTGTACGCCTTCAGACACCCCCTTCAATCCCCCACACTCCCTCCAGCACCCCCTGAGTCTCTCTCTCTCGTGTCTCTGCCTCTCCTCTGTCCCCCTCTGCTGCTTTATCTCCCGATCCCTCTCCCCCTCTATCCATTCAGGGTGGGGGCAGGAGGAGGAGGGAGTTGCGGGGGGGTGGGTGAGGTTTCGCTCGAGGAAGAGGAGAAATGAAGGAATGGGATGTGGCAGGAAATCTTTGCTAACGGGTTGGTATTCAGGAACTCATCAGCTGCATCTCGACTTCCTCAGCAGGTTGAGAGAAGGCACATCAGACGTCCTCCCCGTGTGTGAATAGATACCTCGCCCACCCTCTCTCCCGCTGCATATTTATTTCCGACAGAGGGCGATGGAACTGGCGAAGCTCTCGAACGACGAAGAGGGAGATGCGGTGGTGAACGGCAGTCTCATTGGCGAGCCATGTCACGAGAAGGTGATATTAAATGATGGGTAAGTGCCCACTACACTGTGCACGGCTCCAGTCTCCCTGACCCTCGGTCAGACCCACACCGGGAGCACGGCTCCAGTCTCCCTGTCCCTCGGTCAGACCCACACTCGGAGCACGGTTCCCGT